TACCCCTAAAAACTTCATCTCTATCATCATGACCACCATTATGACGTCATCGTCTCAATGCCTGCCTTTCTAGAAAGGAATTATTATTGCGACTTGTGTGGAAAAGGTTACAACAATATCGAGACACATACATGTATCAGCGTATGCAGTGCTTGTCGCCGCCCAGGCAAAGATTGTCCCACCGATACACTTCGAGACTGTTTAGAATGTTATACCTGGTACAAGGAACAACAAACCAAAACCTTCCATTTCCAACACGAATTGGTGACCTATTGTCAGAGTGATGTGGATATCTTGAGAAAATGTTGTGGAGCCTTTAGAACCATCTTTATGTCGGAAACAGGAATAGATCCCTTCTTAGATAGTCTGACGCTGGCCAGTGCATGCAATAAGGTAAGTTTGTTTACATAATGAAATCTTTTACATAATGAAATATTTGACAAAAATCAATGGCACATGAATAAGTGAAAAAAAGGTCAGGTGATTTCAATTTCAAACAAAGTTTTAAAAAACATGTAATATTTGTCTTTCCAGGTGTTCCGAGCACATTATATGAAGGCCGACACTATAGTCATCATACCCAGAGCTTTGATGGAGGCCCCCAAACCTGGAGAAGATTGGAAAAAATTTCAACCGAGACAACAAAGCAACAAGGCTTTACGCTGGTTAGAATGGAAACAACATGAGAAAACGATCGAGGCACTGAGTCAACACCAACCTACACCCAACATCAGACATGCCCGAAACGGAGGAGAAGTGAAAGTGGGACCATTCAGTTTAGATGGATACGATCTCAACGATAAAACTGCTTATGAATTCCATGTAAGTTTTTTTTTTTTAGAAAACAATTATTTCTGTTACAAATTTTACAATACAATTATTTTTGATACACGATATAAACACTTGACAAAAATCTTTTGAGTTATTATTATTTATTTTAAATGATTGCATGTTCTAATTATTTTGAAATATTATATTTTTCAGGGATGTTGCTATCACGGATGTGCTACATGTTACCCAGGACCCATTGAAGATTTGAAACATCACCATCCATATGATCCTTCAAGAACCATGCGAGATTTAAACCACCACACCACAGAACGAATAGGGAAATTGAAAACCTATGGGCTAGATAAAATAGAAGTGATGTGGGAATGCGAATTTGATCGACAACGACAACAAAACCCTGAAATGGATGAATTCATCACTGGTTTGGAATTGAGGGGATGGCCTTGTCCTGATCCACTAATGCCAAGAAACGCATTCTTTGGTGGACGAACTAATGCAATACAACTGATGGCGGAACCCCAACAAGAAGGCGAAGAACTCCACTACGTCGATGTCGTATCACTTTACCCATACGTCTGCAAATATGGTAAATTTCCCATTCAAGAACCTCAAATCATCACGCAACCTGAACTAGATCGCTGGCACGAATATGAAGGGTTGGTGCAATGTCGAGTTCTTCCACCCAAAAACCTCTACCATCCTGTCTTACCATTCAGAAATGGAAAACTCACTTTTCCTCTTTGTCGAACATGTGTACAAGATCACATGAAACAAGACGATGTTGCTGTGTATCAGGAGTGTCATCACATTGAGAAAGAAAGAGCTTGGGTAGGCACGTTGGTCACCTTAGAATTGAAGAAAGCCGTGGGGATGGGTTACAAAATTCTGGAAATCTACGAAGTATGGCACTGGAATCAATGGAGCCAGTATGATCCTGCCACCAAGACGGGTGGATTATTCACTGATTATATCAACCGTTACCTAAAAATGAAAATGGAAAGCAGTGGATACCCAGACATCTGCCACACAGATGAAGAGAAACGTCATTTTATAGAAGAGGTTTACAGAAAAGAAGGAATAACACTTGATCCGGACCAAATTATACCGAATAAAGGCAAACGCGCGTTTTCGAAATCGATACTAAACACACTTTGGGGAAAATTTGGACAAAGAGACAACTTTAGTCAAACAGAATACATCACGGATCCTTCAGAATATTTTCAGCTGATGAACGATTCCACAGAAACAGTCAAAGATGTTCAAATTGTCAATGATAACATGGTCATGATCGAAAAATTGAAGAAAGAACAACACGTTCAACCATGCGCTATCACCAATGTAGTGATTGCTGCTTTCGTGACAGCCCAAGCACGTTTAAAACTATACAGTGTATTGGAACCCTTAGGAAACAGAGTGTGTTACTTTGACACTGACAGTATCATCTACAGACATCTACCACTACAATGGAATCCAACCGAAGGTTCGTCGTTGGGAGAATGGAAAAACGAGTTACCAGAAAATGTACACATCACGCAATTCGTAGCTG